TCAGAGTTAAAATAATCTTGTTCTGTAATTTTATTACGATAGTTAATAGTTGTATAATGTATTAAATATTTACCAGTGCATATTATTTTATCTCATTGATTCAATTAATAATTATTAATTATTTAATTATAATATATTATGGATTCATCAGCAGTGGTGTATAGTATTATGAGTATTTGTTTGTTTTACATTTCACTTTTCTATGACACCAGGGCGGGCGACATTTATTCAGTTTTTTTTCAGAAACAATTATTTTCTCAAACCAAATATTAACTAGTAATTCATGCAAGATTCATTTGAGAAGCCCGAAAAGTGATAAGGAAATCATTTTTATTTAAACATTCTCTTAATATGTCAAGATGTAATTTTTCTTGCCTGAATCCACCATAAAACGATTTATCTTAAGCTAAAATATATGTGAAAAATAATTTTTTAAAAATTATATCAGGGACAACAATAAGCTACTTAAATGCTATTGCAAAGTGAAAATTTACTTGGATTTTCTTTTTATCTGAATTTTATATAAAGACAAAAAATTGTGAAGTGTGGTATCATGTAATTACAATAAACAATAGACAGTAAATAACAAGAAAAAAATTGATGTAACCATCAATTGTCGCCCGGAAAATATATAAAGTAAACAATGAAAATGAGTCTTGATCATCAGATCGCTTTGATATATGTGAAAAGGCATGCGTCTAATTGATGGAGACGATAGCCGCAAATATTTTGAAAGCTAACCGTCGGAAAAAAAAAATCAAACAAAAACGATACCATTTTAAACTTGATCAATTCCTCAAGTAAATGTTGGCTGCATAAAATATAAATTGAAGTAAGACACATGCATCACCTATGTTCAAAAATGTATTTAATTTACAATTTTAGAATATAAAACACGAACTGTGCGTAGTACGTTTTTATGCGAGAAGAAGAATTCGATATTCTAAATAGAGGGACCTGTCGTTTTTTCGATAGTAAATGACAAGAAACTTTACATTGAAATATGAAAAACATATATAATTTTACAGATTCAATTTATGGAAGTAATTATATTATGTATCTCGTAATTTATAAGGGGAAGGTACATTCTGATTAACAAACATTTTTCAATGTTTAGAAAACCATTAATTCTGAATGACTACTCCCAAACCAATCCCCATACACCAACACTTAAACTTATATGTATATGCAATAAGGAAATTCGGTTGACTTACTGCATCTTTAAGGTTGTCTGTCTGCATCGGGTAAAAAAAATATAAACAATACACGGAATATTTTTCATTGTGGCAGTAAAAATAATTTAATATTTAACAATTAAAACGATGAAAAATTTATTAACAAATGAATGAGTTATGAGCCGCACTCATTTACACAATAGATAGAACCAGGATTGATTATGTTAGGAATATGTGTGTTTTGTGGTTTTGTGGAGGGGGCGGGGGGGGGGGGGGGGGTGAGGTAATAATCTAAATGGCAGAAACTTAAAATTCTTGCGAACACGAGTTAAAATAAATAAATAATTTTTTTACTTCCAAATATTTAGATGCAAAGGCGGGTTGTCTCTCCTGCACCCAATGCCTACAACTTGTAAAGAAGATGGGCGGATAAGGCGGGCAGAATGCCTATAGTGTCAGATATTGAGAAATCACACTTGATATGTAAACTGAGTATTTAAATTTACATCTCATTATTGAAATTTATGAAATTATGAGAAAAAAAATTTTTTATCAGAAAAAATAAATCTCTTTAAAAAATTCATTCATAAAAATATTTCATGGTATTCGTGGGATTCGAACCCCAGCAATAAAATACCGAAGTATCAGCCTGCTTTGAGACTAACGCGCTAACCACTATGCTACATGGCTAATGTGTTATAGTGGCATTTAAATCATGTTTGTGATATGACCTTTGACTTAGTGGACTTAAAGTATTTCTCGGAAAGATGCGAATGTTTTGTCATAAAAGTGTATTTTTAAGGTATAGTGGGTCTTCCCTCCATTTTTTTGTAAACCAAAAAATATACATTTTATCGCAAACTGTTAGGATTATCTTTCAAAAAAATGGAGCGAAGACCCACTCACATTGAACAATTTTGTTAAAGTATGAAAAAATAATCGTTTTTGTTCTCTTAAGTCTGTCTATGCTTTTTCACGGGCAAATATTTTCACTTTTTGTGAGATCTTTGTAAATTATAGAGATTTTACATTAAGTATACTTTAATATTAGATGAGATATGACATAAAATTTGGATATAATTGAGATTAATTTTTTTCCCTTCTTATCTGTCGCGTTATAGGCATTCTGCCCGCCTTATACGCCCATCTGCCCGCCTTATACGCCCATCTTCTTTACTTTTTTATTTAGGTTTTAAATAATACTGCATATTATTCCTCATTTTATATTTTTACCTTTATATGAGGATTGGCATTTTCAAAATCGCACGTACAGCGATCATGAGCACTATGAGCCTGGAGCTGAATTGCTATGAGTCCAGTCTTGTTAATCATGTGTAAATATTTTGGCAAAATACTCTATAAGTCCCATTTCAATGCTTGGCCATTTTTTCTTTGGAAAATTACTTGAGTTCTTATATTACGTCTTTATATAAATATGAGCTTCGCTTATTTAAATGAATTGGACCAAGTAATTGAAATCGGTATAAATCTGTGAAAGCTGAGTAGATCAGGAATCTGCATCATGTTCCCAGCAGAGTCAAATGTACATCACTATTTATTTCAAATTCGATATAGATTAGGGCATAACCTTTTGTTTTTTTTCGGAGGGGGTTGTTTAAACAGGAATATAGAAAACAATTTTTAAATGAAACATCTTTAAAGTCAAGTATTAAGAATAAAATTTAAAAAGTAAAGAATATTTATATAAGGAAGTAAATAAGAGAGAAAAGTAAGATACATTTTCGATGCGAGTTCCTATTCCAAAGATAATTCCAAAGATAATGACTGAAACATTAAAGTGATCCAAGTGTTCCTCATTTCCTATTTATAAATGTCGCAGAAGTATGCTGTTTATTGATAGTCATAATATCAAATGCCAATGATTTATAAATTCTACACTTTGAGATGCTCCCCCAAATTTAAAGTCCGAAGTCCACTATTCGCTATTCCGTGTCCATTATGATGCCACACATTTGCGAAATAAGCGAAATGAGACACACCTACAAAATATTTCCGTCAACAACTATGTAATTTGTGTGTGTGTGTGTGTCAGCTATTTCACAAAATACCCCATTATGTACTGATCATGACCCGTTTTTAGTGTAGGTCGCGGGTTTGGAGGGCTTTTAAAAGTGTTCAAAAACATGCCATGAAAATTAACTATATGATTCCTCTATCTTTGATTTCCATTCTCTGAAAATTTATAAAATTCGTCTGCACCGTTTTTGTGTAATTGAAGTCCAATGATGTCATTGTTGTAGTAACATTTTCAACGGTATTCTACTGAATTGTATCGGCAGCCTATCATCAACACATCTTTCACGGATCGGCCATGTATGGCCGAGCATCGTCAAATATCCGTTGAATCTGAGGTCATCGGGGGGTTGGGTGGTGTCCAACATATAACGGCGAATCATCGGTCGATGTTCGACCAAACATTTGCCCGTAGTCGATAATTCTATAAATAAAATTATTTTTGAAAATTTCTTTCTTACTCATGGACACATTGCAAACATTCTCATGCAAAATTAAATAAAATGTCCTAGCACTAACTGTTCAAAATTTATGGCGAAAGTTAAAGCCTTTCATAAGTAGGTCAACTCTAAGGTCAAGATCAAAAGGTAAAAACTGTTTGTATCCAAAGAAAGGACAAGATAGGGTAAGACCAGTATTTGGCCCCCGATTTTTGGTGTCTTTCAGAATGATCCAACAGTTTATCCATGAAAACCTGTTTTCACCCCTGCCACAAAATTAGTACTGGTTTTAAGATTAAGAATATTCAGAGGTCACAGTGAGGTCAGGAAATGGGTCAATTTTCGAAATTTCTCATTTTTATGCAAATTTTCACTAATTTTACAGCACATTTTCTTTCGGAAAACATAGAGCACACGCTTGCCTATCTACCAAATTTATATATTTTATACACTGATATCAGATGCAGTATATGTGTAAAAATCTCAGATAGGCAAGCGTGTGCTCTATGTTTTCCGAAGAGAAATGTACCCAAAATATGATGAAAATCCACCAGAATTGAGGAAATTTGGGAAAATGTCCTATTTCTGAACCCTCTAGTGGCTTCCATATAGCCTTTGAATCAAAATTAGTGCTTGTCTTAAAGTAAGCATCATTTTAATTTCTTAACTACAAACTATCACAGTTTTATCAGTGTTCTGATTTTTATATAAAAAATTCGGCTGTTACCCTATCTTGTCCTTTCTTGTCACAAGACGTGAAATCTAAAAGCCTAGTACTTACTTTCAAAAGCTATTATGAGGGTTAATGTTTTTTAAAAGTCGGATTAACTCGGTTTACACACCTGGAAAGTTTTAAAACTTTAAAACAAAATTGTCAAGATGAATACACATCATTGAAAGCCCTAGCACCAACTGCCAAAAGGTGGGTAAGGTAAAAGTTAGGTAATCTTTTGCAAAAGTTGGTCAAAACTCAAGATCAAGAGGTCGAACATGTCGATTCCAAACGAAAGACCTTTTCACGAGGAATTCACTTGTGAAATATGAGTCATACTCCTACCAATAAAAAGTTATAGGCATGTTTAAAGTTTTTGCAGACAGACAGACAGACAGACGGACAGACAAGGCAATATTTTCATGAAAAGTTCAGAGAAGAGAATAATATTATGTACTCTGATTTAAGCTTAAGATAATCTTCATTTTGTCTCATTATATGTAATTAAACTTTCTGATAGTTTTGAAACCTTTGTGTGAGTGTGTGATAATGTTTAATTGATTCGGAATCCATGTATTTCATTAATCAAATTAAAAGTAATTTTAAATATTTTTTTTCAGAAAAAAGTTAACTTTATTCATGTCCCATTCCGCAGCTCGTACCGTTCACTTGTGGTTTGATTTACCACAGAACGCAAAATGTGTTCGTAACGAAGTCTGTGTCACTGAATCTCAAAAGGGGACGTATTTCTGCGTCATCGCATTTAGGCATGGATACAGCGGCATACAAGAACTGTGTGACGGAAAGAAAATGGCGATCTTTTCAGTCTGGGACAGCGAGACAAATGTAGACCCTTGTGAGGATGAAAGAGTTAAGGTTATTTACAGCGGAGAGGGAGTCCAGGTTTCTCGATTTGGTAATGAAGGAACAGGTGGTAAAACCATGATGCCTTTCGAATGGGTAGTTGGTGAACCCGCTAAATTTAAAATTGAGGCCGAAAACCTTGATGGACTTTGGACAGCATTTTCTTGCTATCTTAAAAACAGTTGTTCGCCAAATTGGTTTCACATGGCAACAATAAAAACAATCACAAATGGTGAAATGATAAACGGAGTTTACTCTTTTGTTGAAGATTTCCAACGAGATGGAGCCAATCATTGTAAAATCCGTTCTGCAAAGTTTGGGGATTGCTGCTATATGCAGGAAAAATTATGTGGCCGAGCACAGTTTACAGCAGATAGTTCTACCTTGCTGAATATAAATGCTGGGTTAATTGACAATAAATTTTATCTAGCTACTGGTGGTGAAACTGAAAACACAAGCACACCACTCAATGGTTTTATTACCAAGTCTTCTGACCCGGAGTGAAGAAAAATGTTCAAGCTAGGGCAGGTGCTGATATTTAATAGATGGATTATAATGCAATATATTTTTGTATATTAACAGCCGGGTGTAATGACGAGGGAGAACTAATATATACATAACAATGAATTAACTTTAAAAAGGTCATGCTGTTTGTAGTTGTATTAAATTATACCTTCCAATTATAGAAATCTTACCGCTGTTGTTAATATAAACATTGATACATGCGGATTCTATTGTCCTTTTGTCTCTTGAATGAAAGAACAGAAAGTATCCTATTAATTTAAGTTAAAGTTCACAAAACATAATTCCATGAAGTCATAAACCAAGCTTTTTATCGGATTTATACGATTTTAGGAAGGAAGGTAATGGACATTATAGCAGTTGTAACAATCACACGGACCTCATAAGCTTCACTATCACCCCTGTTAGAGTATGCCATGTCGCAGGGTGAATCATTCAGGGCTACTGTGTATAGGCAATGGAGACATCTTTGTCTCTGCGATACCGTAACAACCATACTAAACCCTTAATTGAGAATATCGATAAAGGACAACTAAAATACCCTGTACATTTTCTAGTACTTTGAGAATAGAGAAAATTCATGCAAACAGGTTCCATGTGCATGAAACATGTAAGCTTTGTTAAGCTTTATCTTTGTGTTATATATTGGTACTTCTTCACTCTTACTCTGTTAAGTATCTCAATTAGACGTAGCTAGCTAATTTAAAATTTTAACTTGAAATTCGAAAAGAAGTATTGAGACAAAATATAAAAATGTTGGATATACAAATTCGTTTATCAGATTTCTAACTATAACGTAACGAAACTATAAATTTATAAAGATGATTGCCACAACCTAAATGATGTCATTTAATGTAAAACAAGCTAAATAATGGAATCTGCATCTCCCACTTAGAGAAAAAAGAATAGCATGCACAGATCTAAGGGTACATCTCAAGAAAGGCTGGCGGGGCCATAGGGAGTTTTGGATAAAATTCAGTTGTAAAATCTCAAAAGTTTCTTTAAATATTGACTGGAAATGAAACTTTTACACACTGTCACAAAAATAATTATGGATCTTCTTTTCGACATAGGTAGTTGTTGTATAAAAATATTGAGCTGAAACAAAGTTTTAAGTCAGACAGAATTTTCAATTTATCACCTTGTCTTTTTGATCTCAAAATCAAGGAGTCGTCCATAGGTCATAGTGAGTTGTGTAAAATTTCACTGCAAAATCTCAAAGGCTTTTAGAGATATTTTAGGGAAATGAAAGTGTTCCAGACAGACAGAACTACAGACAGACGCATCGAATGACAGACAGACCGAAATTATCCTTTCCTCTCAGCTGCAGGCAACAAACGAGCAAGCTCAATCAGTTGTGCCTCTTTCCGCAGTATCCGATGTATGCATTAACACATCAGTTCTCTAATTTGCATCGGGATCGAAATTATTTAATGAAAACGAAAGTAAAATTAGTAAAAACTGATAAACTTCAAAATCTGTTTTGCCCCGTGGGGATGCGGGTTAGAATAGGTCCTCAATATCCCCTTGCTTGTCGTAAAAGGCGACTAAATGGGGCGGTCCTTCGCATTAGACCGTATAAACCGAGGCCCCATATCACAGCATGTGTGGCACGATGAAGATCCCTCCCTGCTCAAAGGCCGTAAGTGCCGAGCATAGGACAATGTGTCAAGGTCTTTTTTTTCATATCTGGCCCATCTTCTGGCGTAATTTTCAACAGAATCCAAAATAATATTTATGAAATTCCGACGCCAGTTGAAGGATCGGGGTTCCCTATATTTAGGACCTTTTAAAATAAGTGATCTAAGCTAGGTCCTCATTATGAACTATATTTACGTCAGCTGTAATAAGGTAAAACAGATGTTTATATATACATTCGTGGGGACGTAAATTCGTGGGCCAGGGTTACCCACGAAGGCCACGAACTTTGGTCCCCACGAACAATGATGATTCCACGGTACTCAACCTACATGACAAGTTCCTTTTATATGGAAACTTAACAACCTGAATTATTTGCGAACCGTTACACTTAACAGGCATTTGATTTTGAATTATTTTTATCATGTGTTTTCAATTTATTTATTTTTTCATAGTTATAAAGTCTCATAGTTTTATACAAAATATACTATCATTAATTATACTTGCTTCGTGCTTTTTATCAATAATCGCTGGATATTTACGTTGTAGAGTCAAGAGATTGTTTTTATCGGCAGTCATATCAAAGGTTATCTTAGAGTGTCAATTTCACCATGTATGAACTAGTTTTGTTCAAATTTTATTATTCATGTCGAGAAATAGAACACAGACAAAGTTTTTCATTTTAAATTGTTAAAATTCAAGTTACAATTTATTTTTTCTTTTTCAATATATATATATTTCTTAACGTCAAGATTCTAATTTCACAAATGTAGATCAATAAGATAGAAATTTTAAAAAAAAAAGTATCGCTTTGTGTGGCACAGAGATTGACAAGTTTTTCTTCGTCTAATTTTGTAAAGATAACGGCAAACATTAATCAAAAATTGATACTATTTCATTTATATAATTTGTACTATTTTTGAAAAATTGCTTGCTACGGATCTCAATATTTCAACAGCAAAATAATCGGTCAAATATAACCGAAAAAAGATAATATATAAACCTTCATGACTGTCTTATCTATGAGATAAGAAAAAAAGATAACCAAAAATTTGAAAATAAAAAATGCTTTTGAAATGAATGTGAATATAATACAAGTATCTCACACGGTTTGGGTATGTTTTTGACTTTAACGTGGACCCGATCCTATTGGAGACTATTTCTGCTTCGTAAGACAATCCTGAAAAGCTGGGTCCAAGAAGTGTGAAAAAGAGGCAAAGAGTGGGAATATAATTAAGTTTACGAATTTATTGATAGAGCCTAATCTTGAAAGTGATATTATAATATATAAAACAACCTGGTCTTGTTTAAAATATACAAAGTAAATTTCTAAAAATAAAATAAAATGAGACCAGCGTAAATCCTCTTTATTCCCTTGGTGACAATAGTAGTATTTGTGAGAACGTGTATCTAGGTATTTGTGTGATAGATAGCGGAGCTAGAGCAGTAGTGGTTGTTAACCAAGAAGGAAAGCTAAAATTCAGGTATACTGGACATTATCCGGTAAGACACAACCGTCAATTCAATCCAAAAGGAATCACTTCAAACAGTATAAACCAACTTATAGTAGCTGATTATAACAATGACTGCATTCATATTATAGACAAATATGGAGTGTTCCTCGGTTACATAGACTCAAATATAGCTAAACCATTTGGACTGTGCAACGATTCAAAGGAAAATATATTGATTTCTCAGTCAGGAATATTGAAAAAGAGTGAAAAGAAAATTCCGTCGATTTGTACTCATTTTGAACACCTTGAATTGTCTTTTAACAAAAATATTTCATATATTTAGAAGAGTTCTTCTTTATATTCATAGTAAATTCTGTTTTTTATTCAGAAAGTATGCATAAAATACATTCGATCGTTACTTACATAAATATACATGTATACTAGAAATTTGTTACCGTGTCTACTCTTTACATGCCAACATGCACTAGATTTTTTTTTCTATGTGATTTATTAACTTTATTCCTGCATCCAAAAAGTGCTTTAAAAAATAAAGACACGTTTGATTTTTTTTGTCTTTGAAATGTAAATGAAGCTTTTATTATAGTATCTATGTTCTGCGCTGAAAAAAAAACAACAAATTTTAAGTTTAAAAAAATGAAACTTATAAAGTGTTTTTATTTTTTGTTGATCTGATGACGAAAATAATTACAACTTTTTTTATACATATATTTTTTGAGTAAGACATTAGGTTAGAATAACAGACATATAAATACCAATGACTCTTTTTACAAAAGAAGTGCAATTTTATATATTGTTCTAAATGTACACACAACTTTCTTAGAAATTTCATTTTGTTTCGTTATTTCTCCTACGTCATTAGATACTGATCGTGACAAAATCCGGAATAAGACTTGCTTTGGCGTCATTTTAGTGAATGACTTCAGCCAAGCATAGTCAGGTCCATATCAGAAAACTACGGAAGCGAAAATAGCTTTGCACTTGTTGTGTTGTAACTTTGTATATAGCCTGATAGTTTGTCATCTTATCAACATATAAAGTGTTAGAACGCCTCATTTATACATATATTATGAATTGTATTAAGAAGGATATGGAGATGACAAACAGTATTCAATCTCAAAGTCCATAAAACAATACAAAATAAGAGCGGAGCAAACACGGACCTCCGAAACATCAGAGGTGGGATCAGGTGTCATGGAATAGTGGGGATCCCCTGCCAACCGGTCACACCCACCGTGCTACTTGTCATGATCAGGAAATAACGGAAAAAAAACCCGTCGTCAATTCAGTGTTTTCATAATGGACTAATAATTAGAAAGAAAAATGTCAATCAGCAATTGAGGTATGTTTGACATAATTAAAGGCAACTTAGTTTGATTACTAGATTTTATTGCTTCACGTTTTATCGATTGAAATTATATATTGATGTTCAGATATTGATCAGAAAAAGATATTTTATCATATTGATATAGTTTTTTCGATATGAAAGCAGTAAGAGGTGCACGAAAATACTCTTGTTTTCCCCTCATAAAGTGGTGATCAGTAAAATAACCCCTTATAAATCTAAAGAATCTAACTGTTGATGTGTCTCCATCTCCTTTTTTACAACATATTTTTTAAATTTGATTCAGCCTATCATCGTGCACGCTAACAAGTGTATGTACATGATACATAAGCTTTCACTGAATCCTGAGTGAAATGAATATTCAATAGAATTCCCAACCCTGCGAAGTTCCTTCAGAGAAAATTAATACTGACTTAGTATACATTTATTAATTGCAGCCTGGCAGATAGGGCTGCTCTTTATATATAAGTTTAAGTGTTGGTGTATAGGAATTAAGGTGGGAAAATTATTCAGAATGGAAGGTTTTC